GAGAAACTGAGGAAGAGCAGAAAATGGGGGAGGGGGAGGAGATTGGGTTTTCAAAATTTATTTTTGATTAATTTTATAACTGTATTTCTTTTCAATTTTTTAAATTTTAATCCTTTTATAATAATCAAAATTTGTAGTATCACTCTCTTTGCACTCGTGAATTACACGCAATTTGTCCATCTCAGACATATCAAAGCCACACAAGTTCGGTCAACGGTCAGAGGGGTTTAAAAAATTAGTTTTGATCACGTGGAGGTGTCTAGAAGAAAACTCGTAAAGTATGAGGACCGGGATGTCAAAACGATGCAAGTATGAGTGTCTATTACGCTATTCTGCCTTTCATCTTTATTATTTCCTTCCCCATTTACTGTTGCCTCATCTTCATTCTCAAAGTTCCAAGCTTCAAGCTTTTGCAATTTTGTTGTTCCGATTAACTTTTTTTGTGGGTTTATTTCATCTAAGATTGAAGTGAATCCATGTCTCAAAGAGAATTATGGACAAATCGAAACTTATCAGTACAAGAACCACGTTAATAAACAGTAGTTACTTCTAAGGCCGACAACAATCAAAACTACTCTTCAAATCAGTCTCGAATGTTGATGAATATAAGAAATAGTTGATGAATATGGGATTCTCGTCTTCACCATGTGCGATTAGGTATTTGGGAAGGAGCTTAGGGTATTATTACGACACTTAGGTTGATGCGGAATAAGCCATTTTTCCCCTGTTTCCATGGAAAGGTGTCGAAGGAATAGGCACATTTAGAGCTGTGGGACTTGAAGGAATAGAATGCCCCGTTAGAATGGGCAGGGACAGTCGATCATTGGCTTAATTTCCTGGGGGACTGACGTATCAAAAATTCTCGGTATTTCGTCGTGAAAGTGTCACATTTAGATTGTTCTTATTAAAGGAAAGAGCCGAATAGACAAAGGGTTTACATGACCGCTCGCTTTGGACAAGATAAGTGAGAAAATAAGAAGCGGGACCTTAATTTTACCCAAATACAGACGGTTTCGGGTATTTTAGTATTGACTCATTTGACATGGATGAAAAAAATAGGTGACAACATTTAATTGGATATTTATTACACCTCAGATTTGTGTATACACACGCACTATATTTTTTGCACTGGGTTCAGCTTTTGTGTTAAAAGAACACATAAGAAATAGAGTTGAAGTGCCAAAATGGAACAAGGTTGAGATAGAGTGCCAGAAGGGAAAATGGTACCAAGTTTGAATGGGTTGTCTATGTATTTGGCCTAAAACCATTCAACAGTTAATGCATTTCATACAATCAACTTATTTTGACAGCCAGAAACCAAAATGAGAGAACCTAACTCACATAATTAAACTCAGTTAAACAGCTTAAACGAAGGGAAGGAATACAATGGAGTTGCATCTTCTTGAGATTGGCCAACATAAAGAACCAATTTTTCTTGGAACAAAATTCAAGCATAGAGTGAGCTCAATTGGTTATATTACTGACTAACATTATCTAGCAATCTTTTCCCCTTCTAAATTTGGAAAAAGAAATAAGCAGAAGCTAAACAGGGAACATCTAATGAACTTACAGACATGGATTTATGTGAAGCAATTGTACATAGATACTAGTTCTGCATGAAATGAAAAGAAAGAAAGCAAAAATAGACACTAACGATATCAGAAACGGATTCTGAATTTAAACTTAATTAGTTTAATCTGTCATAACTCATTGTACTTTGAAACTATGGTTCAGAATCTAATATTTGTTGAAATATTGTGACTTTTCACATATATATCTATGCTTCTTATTGAAAACATTGAGTTCAATTGAACCCACAACACCAAAGCTCCATAGGCCACTGTTAGCAGAACCATAAGCAAATACGAGTAAAAAATCTTGATTTTAGAAAATTGGGAAGAAACTATATCTAACAACTGAATTCTCTTACAAAAACACAAAAAAGTACAACAATTTTCCCAAGATAATCAAAAACAAAATAAGAATTAAACATTTACCACAAATTCAAGTTAAGCAATAGAAACTTTAGCACCAGCTTCTTCAAGCTGTTTCTTAGCATCTTCAGCCTCATCCTTAGACACACCTTCCTTAAATTTCTTAGGCAATCCTTCAATCAATTCCTTTGCCTCTTTCAAAGCCAAACTAGTTAAAGCCCTAACAGCCTTAATCGTAGCAATTCTCGCATTACTCGGAACTTCGTCAATAACAACGTCAAATTCAGTCTTCTCCTCCACCACAGCAGGAGCTTCGGCGGCGGCGCCAGGAGCGGCGGCGACGGCGGCCGGAGCGAAGGATGCGGCGGTAACACCAAGCTTATCCTGAAGGTACTCGACGAGTTTCTGAGCGTCAGCGAGAGTTAAATTGGAGATTTCATCTCCGAGCTGGACTACCTTCTCAGGTGCTTCAACGGCGGCGAGAGGGCGGAGGAAAGTGGCTCGGCGGTGGTGGAGTTTGGGAGTGCGAATGGGGAATTCTAGGGCTTTTTTGGGGAATGGAATTGAGGCGTGTGTTGAGGAAGCGGTAGAAGGAGAAGGAGAGCGAAGAGTAATTGTGGATAAAGTGGAAGCCATTGTAGCAGAGAGTTGAAGAGAATGAGAGGAGAGGAGAAGAGAGTGTGATACAGCAAATGAGA